CCTCTGGCTCCGTGCGGGGGTGGGTTTGGGGAATGTAGGGGGGCCGAGGGGCTGAGGTGTGGCTGGTTTGGGAAGGCTGTATGGGGCAGGGAGGGTCAACATGGACAATGGGACCAGTGTGACCACTGGGGACAGTGGGGTCAGCGAGGGTGCTGGGGACAGCAGGGCTGCCAGGGCCTGTGGGACCGCTGGGGCCAATGGGACACTGGGAACAGCAGGCGCCAGGTGCCCCCAGGACAGCTGGTGCCCTTCTCTGGGCTGGGGGATGCCCCAGCCTGGGAACGAGCCACCCGACCCCTTCCAACCCTCCACGAGGGGCTCCAGCGTCCCCCATGCCACGCCATGCCCAGCCAAGGGCATCTCCGCTCCTGCGTCCCCAGAGTCCCTGGCAGCCATGGCGCATCAGCGTGGCCCCCGAGCCCTGTCCCTGGGCTGGCAGGGACCAGGAGGCGAAAATCACCCGGCTTGGGCTGGGCAGGGGCTGAGGGCAGGCAGTACAGGCAGGAGGAGGAGGACCCCGGCTGTGCGGCCGGTTGGCCTCTCGCTGGGCAGGTTCATCCTGGGTGCTGCAGAGCAGGAGCTGCTTTTCCCCGACGCTGCCATCCCGCCGGTGCAGGGCGCTCTCAGTGCTCTGCGGTGGCACCGAGCCCTGTCCCGGCACCAGCCCAGGCACCGGGGGCCGTGTCCCCCAGCACCGCCATCTCCAGGCTCCTCTCTTCCACCTCATTTCCCTCCATTATTTTCTTTTTAGCTATTGGGAAGCAAAATGGGGCTCCCTGCTCCCCGGTGTCCCCTGCTGCCGCCTGACCCACTTAGCAAGGCCATCTGGTCCCCGCACAGGCAAAGCGGATTAGGGCTGGGGATCAGGGCTGGGACGCTGCCACCGCCCCGGGGCCCTGCCGTGGGTGGCCCCACCGTGGGTGGCCCCCGCCTGGCTCCCGGGGTCCCTGCGGGCCCGGCGCCGGGGGGATCAGCCGCAGCGTGAGCCCCTGGCTGGGGAGGGGACCCCCGGCAGCCCCCGCCACGGGTGACCCTGCCTGGCCAGCCGGGGTGCCTGTGCCCACCGTGACCCCGGCCCCCGCCGGCCTGTGGGCTCACCCCATGCCTACGCCTCTGTCCCTCTGTCCGTCCGTCCATCCATCCATCCATTCATCCACCCATCCATCCGTCCATCCTTCTATCTGTCCATCTGTCCATCCATCCATCCATCCATCCACCCAACTAACAGTGCAGGGACACACCTACCCACCCTGGTGTGCACCCACGCATCTGTCTGTCCGTCCATCCATCCATCCATCCATCCATCCATCCATCCATCCATCCGTCTGTCCATCCATCCATCAATCCATCCGTCCATCTGTCCGTCCGTCCATCTGTCCACCTGTCTGTCCATCTGTCCATCCATCCATCTATCTGTCCATCTGTCTGTCCATCCACCCAACTAACGGGGCAGGGATGCACCTACCCACCCTGGTGTGCACCCATGCATCTGTCCGTCCATCCGTCCATCTGTCTGTCCATCCACCCGTCTGTCCACCCACCCACCCACCCATCCCTCTGTC